ATTCAACAACTTATTCTTAAACTACACTCCTCCTTCTCTCTCAAAAATTTAGGAAACATTGATTTTTTCCTAGGAATTGAGGTCAGGAAACTCCCAGATGGAAGCCTACATCTTTCTCAAGCTAAGTATGTCAGAGATTTACTTCACCAAGTTGGGATGACAGATTCTAAAGGAGTTAAAACCCCTATGGCTGGTAACTGCAAGCTTACTCATCAAGGTAGTGACCCCCTACATGATCCATCTACATACAGATCTGTTGTTGGAACCTTACAGTATGCCACCCTCACAAGACCTGAAATAAGCTATGTTGTTAACAAGGTGTGTCAATTCATGGCTACACCCTTACAAGATCATTGGAAAGCTGTCAAACATATTCTAAGATATCTTTCTGGAACCATTACTCATGGAACCATTATCAAACCTATTCCAAAAGGTCCTGATCTACCTATCTCAGCATTTTGTGATGCGGATTGGGCTTCTGACCCTGTTGACAGAAGGTCTACATCTGGATCATGTATTTTTCTTGGATCCAACATAGTCTCTTGGTGGTCAAAGAAACAACAACGTGTTGCCAGATCCTCAACAGAGGCTGAATACAGAAGTCTTGCAGACACCACTTCTGAATTGCTATGGGTTCAGTTCTTACTTCAGGAACTTAAAGTTCCTTTTCAAACTCCCAGAGTGTACTGTGATAACCTCAGTACAGTTCAGCTAGCTCACAACCCTGTACTTCATTCTAGGATCAAACATATGGAGATTGACCTCTTTTTTGTTAGAGAAAAGGTCCAAACCAAGCAGCTTGCAGTTTACCACATTCCAGCACTTCATCAAGTTGCTGATATCCTGACCAAGACACTATCAGCATCATCTTTTCTTGGTTTGAAAGCCAAACTTAGTGTGATTGACTTCCACAATCAATCACCCTAATTTTGAGGGGGGAATGTTAGGAATACTGTACATAGACTATAGCAGATTTGTACTAATTAGTTTGTTATATTAGTTCAAGTCGGTTACAGTTTGTTAAAGTCTCAAAGACTATAAATACATGTACTGTACTCTTGATATCAATAAGAAGAATTCATTTCTGATTCTATTACTTTTCTAATAAAAATAATATCTAATGTGGTATTTCGGGAAGGTATGAGGACAAATATCCAAGAATATGTGAGAAGCTGTGATATATGTCAGCGAAATAAATACCAGAACTCGACTCTAGCAGGGCTGCTTCAACCACTTCCTATACCGAGCCAAATTTGGGTGGACACTATCATTGATTCCATCGGAGGGCTTCCTCGAGCCATGGGTAAGGACTCCATACTAGTGGTGGTTGATTGACTAATCAAGTTTGTTTAAGGTGTTAGAGACTGTATAGCAAATTTTTTTGGGTCCGTTTCTGAAGAGCCGCGAGTTTTCATACAGTTTTGGGCCGTACTGTGTGCCGCACGTCCTAGTTGCTTTGGGGTTAGGTTTTACTCTCTATAAATACAAGCTCTCTCCCTTGTAATCAATTTATCCGAAATTAGTAGCAATTCCTTGCTTGGTAGCGCCCCCAGACGCAGTCCTTTGTGGCGAACTCGGTTACCAAATTTCGTGTGTTCTTTTTATTGTTCTTCGTATTGCATTAATTAAATCTTAACAGTTTGCACATTTCATTGCCTTATCTCACCCTTATACGGCCAAAGAAGTGGCTGAAATTTTCATCAAAGAGGTGGTCCAGCTCCATGGGTTTCCTAAGACCATTGTCTCGGATAGGGACAATATTTTCTTAATTAAATTTTGGTCTGAATTATTCAAGTTGGCAAGGACAAAACTGAAATACAGTACTCCTATCACCCACAAACAGATGAACAGACTGAGGTGGTGAACTGGTGTCTTGAAAGCTATTTGTGATGTGTAATCGGGAATAAACCAAAACAGTGGCCGAAGTGGTTAGCATGGGCTGAGTATTGGTACGACACCAATTACCACGCGTCCATAAAGAACACTCCTTTTAAGGTGCTCTATACGGGTAGGATCCACCTATCTTAGTTAAAGGAGATGCAAGTTTGATTACAGTGGATGAGGTGTCTAAATTAGCAGCGGAACGAAATGGGATTTTGCAGGTTTTGAAACATAATCTACAGGTTGCTCAAAACCAGATGAAACAACAAGCCAACAAGCATAGACGAGAACTCCAATTTGAAGTAGCACATAGGGTATTCTTAAAAATACAGCCCTATAAGTTAAAGAGTTTGGCTAGACGAATGAATCAGAAGTTGAGTCCTCTCTTTTATGGTCCTTTTGAAATGATTGAAGTGATTAATCCGGTAGCTTATAACTTGAAGTTACCTGAAGGTTGTGCAGTTCATCCGGTGTTTCATATCTCCCTACTGAAGAAAAGACACTTAGACCCAATATTCCTTTTCAATCATTGCCTTCTTGTATTTCAGAAGAATGAGAGTTGCAACCTCAACCAGAGAAAATAACAGATGCCAGAGTTTCAGCTACAGGAAACCGGGAGGTGTTCATTCACTGGCAGAAACTCCCTGAGTGAGTTTGAAGACTCCTGGGAAGATTGGGAGCTGATCAATAAACAATTTCTTAAGCTATACCTTGAGGACAATGTGTTTTTTAAAGGGGGGTGATGATACGAGCACTGCTTTATTCAAAATAAATCCCAAAAGGGATTTTTCTAAAGTTTATAAAAGGTGCAAGAAGGTAAAAGACCAGGGAAAAAGAAGAGACAACAGAAAATAATGGACTGTCTTGAGAAGAATAGTCGCAAGAGAGAGAAGCGATGAATAAAAACAAACGGAAGAGGGAAGGGGGCGGCTATCTTGGACTCAGTTCAGAACTGGGAGAGCGAGATCCTCTCGAAAGATCTCATATATATTCTGCAATCTTCTTATTTTATTTTTCTCTGTTCCCAGATGTTGATATTGAATCTTAACAATAATCCATCAATTTTGAGGTGGAATGTGTTGTTACTGTTTTCTGGTACTGTGTTCTATCAGGGTTTACGAGTGGGGGTAGGGGTACGGGCCACGAGTAAGGGGTCAGGGTAGGGGGTAGGGGTAAGGGTACGATTATGAGGTAGGGTACGGTAGGGTGTGGGTACGGGTAGGAGTATAGGCACTAGCTCGGGGTAAGTGTAGGGGTAAGGGTCCGCGTATAGGTAGGGGTTAGGGGTACAAGTAGGGTTGGGAGTTGGGGTGGGGTGATTGGGGTTTGGTAGGGTAGGGGCGGGGTAGGGGTGGTGGGTAGAGGTAGTGTTAGGGGTAGGAGTAGGGTAGGGATAATAGTAAAGGGGTAAGGGCAAGGTAAGTGAGGGTAAATTTGGAAACTGAAAAAGCTTAAAGTGATGCTTAATTAATACATGGGAGTGGTATGCTTAGTAAGCAGCACTTTAAGCACCTGTTTCAGGTAGTAAGCAGCTTATTAGTTAGTCTGTGTGTTTACTTCACCTGTCTTATTAACCTAACTTACTAACCTAACTGTGACCTTAGCAGCAAAGTAAAGATGTCTTGAGTGTAATTTTTATGCAAGGACTTTTTGTTTTCTAGTTTTCTGTCTCTTATGCTTAGGATTAGTACATGTTCTATGATCAGTCATTTCTTTATCAGAACTTTGATTGTATTGGGTATTTGCAGTTGCAAGATTAGTCATTGGTTTCTAATCTGTGGCTTTCCATGTCGCCTTTAGCGGTTTTCTTCTCCCCTTTTTAGTTTATTGAGGATAAAGGATTCAAGCCAATATGTACTACAGTCTAGGGAGTAATTTCTTCCGAAACAACAATTTCTTGTACCATATTAACTTGGTGAAATTATTGATTTTTTTTACCAGAAGCAGTCGACAGGGAGTAATTGGTGACCGAATCTAAGGCTTTGTAGAGGCTTAGAGGGGAAGTAAGTGGATGGTTTATCACAAACCATAGATAAATCCTTTTTTTTAAATAACAAATAACTTCTCCAATCAATTCCCATCCAATGTTTCAAACAGCTCCAAAATACAATTCCCAAACACCCTAAAAGAGATCCAGTATGTGAGGTGATCTGAGACTGTATTAGAGTAAAATCAAGAGGGAATCTTGATGCATCTTGTCTTGTTGTCTTTACCTTACATGACATTTGACACTACTCTTTAAGAAAAAAGGAAAATGACTTTAAATAATACCGTCTTTTCGCTATAATAATAAACTACGCTAAAGGGTCAAATAGGTACATGAACTAACTTAAAGTGTTCAATTAGCCCCTTATATAGGAGGTTCTGCCCGGTCGTTGTCAATTGGGGCGGTTCCCGGTGTAATTTTTTGACGAATTTTTTTGAACATCTTCTTCATTAAGTCTAGTTTATCCATACCAAATTTCAGCTAAAAATTTAACCGGGAAGGCAGTCAAATGATTTTTTGAGTATAACTGCGCAGTTAAACAACGCAGTACATTTTGGAAAATCATTTGACTGCCTTCCCGATTTAATTTGTATCTGAAATTTGATATGGGTAAACTAGACTTAATGAAGAAGATGCTCAAAAATTTTCATCAAAAAATTCAACCGGGAACCGCCCCAATTGGCAACGGTCGGGCAGATCTTCCTATATAAGGGACTAATTGAACACTTTAAGTTAGTTCATGTACTCATTTGACCCTTTAGCCTAAACTAATAAAATCCCAATCTATGAAAATATAAATTGATGGCCAAATAATTTGAATGTGTACAGAAAACCATATGAGCATGTTTTTCGATAAGAAATTAAGCTGATGTGCTCACACAAACAATCCAATTGTTGTTTATGGACTAAATATAATACCGTGAGTTATTGGCCATAGACGAAAAACAAACCTAACTTTGAAATTCAGCTACACCGGTCATGTCAGCACTTCCAGGTTTCTTTCCTGAAAATATGGTTCTACTCTTTTGCGTATACACTGAAATAGTTTCACTATTGATTTGAGATTTCTAAAGTGAGATTATTTTTAGTTGTCATTATTCTTGTTAACTCCTCATGTTTAATGGTTGTGCAGTACAGGCACCACACATCCTCATAACTGGCCTTGAAGACTACAAGGCTAGAGGAACACAAGCATCTCCATACTTCACCATTTCTTACTACACAGAATTCGCAGAAAGCAAGGATCTAGTGCTTGTCCGGGGGGATGTCGTCTTCACCAGCAAACTCAGTGACTCCGAAGCCAAATGGCTCTTGGAGATAGCACACTCCTTTTATATGAACGATACGAGGTACAAACTTGTTGAGACCTTTAACAAAGAAACAAGGAAGTTTGTGTTTGAGGATGTTTTGCGTGCATTGGGAATGCCAATTTTGTAGTTGAAGCAAGTGTTAACCTCCCCAATATCTTAAACTGAGTTTGGGCTTCAAGAGCATTGGATCTTTCTGTGTATTCACAGTTTTTCATCGCGGAAATGTCTGAAATACCTTGCAGGCTGGGGTGTATTGCCTGGAGCTTATTTCAAAATTAATGTGAACTCGTGTTTTAGTTATTAGAGTAACTTGTTTGGGTAATGCTGAAGAAGGGAGCACTGTATTGTCTAATAGTGTTTGACATTAGTAGTGAGGTAAATGTACCGGATTGGATATTAATGAGCTTGAGTTCCGCTTGTGATTTCATTTCTGGACCACTCAAGTTTGATCCAAATATTTGTAATTCAGTTCACATTAAAAAGTACGAAACACATACTTCATAAATAAGTGTATCCTTTTTTTTAACCCGGTGTTAGACCAAAAAACAAGTTTTTTGGGGGGTAGGGGCCCGAGAATAGTTTATCCTTATAGTCTTACTCCAAGAATAAGTTGATCCTAGTTCATGAATATTTCGTGTAAAATGCTACAACGTATATGAGTTGTGATGTTGTATGCATAGAAGTTCACAGTGTACCACACAAATTGTGCAAGTGCAGTAGTGCAGGACGGTAAGGTGCCTTGTGATTGTTTAAATAATCCTTCTATTATACCATCCTCCGTCTCATAATAGATGAGACATGAGGTTTCGGCACAGGATTCACAAATTCCGGCTCCATCTCACAGAAGTTGCTCACGATCACGCCGTGACGCGAAATCACCGTCCGGAGCAGCTTTTCTGCCACCTCTTTTTTGGGCCTCGCTTTTGATTTCTTTGGGATCCACCACACACCCCTTCACCTGAGCTTTGCAAAACTTAATCTTGTCATCGTACGGTGCCGGAAGTCCAGCGATGGTGAACATCTCTGACTACACCCTCCCCAGAACCTTGGACTCCATGATCTTAGTCGAGCTGACGAAGGAGAAGCCGTTGAACACGATTCATGGGATGCTTAGCCCCTCGTTTAAATCCACATCTCTCCAAATCTCCATTTCGTGGGAAAAGCTAACAAAAATGAAAACTAAATTATTTGGTATGGTGAAGGCTGAAGGAGTAAACAAGGTGTGGCCATATTAGATTAGAAAGAAACAGTGTATACGAAGGAAGATAGATAGCTCAAGGGGTGGATGGCAAGAAATTTTGGGAAAGAGAAAAATGGGCGATCGGTGGTGGGAGAGAAAAATTAGAAAAGGTGGGTATGAAATCATTGTATTTATTTTGTTTGCCAAAAATGAAAGTGTTGCAATTAATTTGGAATTATTAAAAAAGGAAAATGTTACAATTATTTAGAGACGGGGAAGTATTTAAAATCAAAATTATTGTAAATAAATATTGGCAAAAATTTGATGTATAATATTCCCTCCATTCTCTAATATGTGTCCCTCTTTTGATTTTGGGATGTTCGCTAATAGTTGTCTCCCTTTTCATTTTTAGAAAATTTTATCAATAAATATACCTTTATACCCTCATTTTCTTTCGTACTTTTTCATTCTTTTTCTTACTTTTTCACTTAAACACAACTCACTACACATTTTATCTACCTCTATTAATTCATTTTTAAAACTTGTGCCAAAAGCGATACTCCCATCTATTAGAGAACGGAGGGAGTAATAAAAGGAAGAGTTTAAGGATGTTTTTACTTTGACCGTAATTTGTCCCAGACCAGACTTGAATAGTTATAAAAATACAAAAAAAAACAGACCAGTTTAGACCAGACCGGATCAAGACAATTACATTCCATGGAGCTCCTTTCCTGTTAGATAAAGGGACTTTATCTTTTTGTTTTGGCTTCCGAATTCTTCACCCAAATTACCAATCTAGCCCTCATAGCCTGCATCTCCCATTACAAGGGCGTGTAGTCACAAGTCTGCTTGAACGAGCAAAAATGGCAGAGGCATCTGACGAGGCCAACGACATCGAGAAGCTCTACGAGTATGGCGAACGCCTCAACGAGGCCAAAGACAAGTCCCAGGTCCGTAATTACTCGTAATTCGCAGCGTTGCGTATCAATCCATCCTCCTAGGGTTTCACTTGGCTTGTCTGCATGTACTGAAACTGCGCTAATTCGGTTCCTGTTTCTTGCAATAGCATACCGGGGACTATGAAAATATACTTACTACAGCTAAAAGTAGCACCGTCAAAGCGAGGCAATTAGCTGCACAGCTCATCCCGAGGTTCTTCAAGTACTTCCCTAGTTTGTCTATCACTGCGGTAGATGCCCACCTCGATTTATGTGAAGCCGAAGAGCTTGGGGTCAGTTCGTCCTCTCCCATTTCTACTTGTTTGGACATTTTAGTGAACACCCATTAACAAGTTGGAATTTTGCTGACAAGTAGGCCATTACGTTCCTCTTGATTGTTTAATATACTTTGGACCCTCTATTGGAGTATTAGAGTGTGACATATGGTTGGGTTTCATCATCTTCTTAGGTAAAAAAGAAATACAGTGAATGCTGGCATGTAGTCAAGTAGATACCCCATCCTTTACCTTTAACTCATTAAGTCATGTTTCATAAGGATTCAGACGATTAAGCCAACCTCTTTGGCAACAAGGGTTGTTGCATCCCCAGCACTTGTATGCTGCTAGACCTTCTCATACCAGATCTGACTGCGTAAAATTGAAACAGTTTGAAGGGACTGTTACATTGATGTATCTTTAAGTGTCGTGATAAAAATGAATGTTGCATCCTTCACCGCCCTTATATTAACTTTCATCAATTTCATGCAACTTATTCTATTGTTTGTGATTTCCCATTAGTGGTTTGGTTTAGTAGAGGTATACTAGTCACTACATTAGAGGATTGAGATAGTTCACTTGGTTCCAGAACTGATCACCTGAATTTGGTGAGCCTCAAAGGACTGCACTTCACTTAGATGTTTCTTTCTTATTTTTATTTGAATCATTTGGTACATCTACTACTCTTAGATTCGAGTGCAAGCCATTCGTGGGCTTCCTCTTTTCTGCAAGGATACACCGGAAAACCTCTCCAAAATAGTTGACATACTCGCTCAGCTTCTTACTGCTGGTAATTTACCTCTACTATTTAGTTTTGGTATTCTTTCAATAAGTTTTTGGATTTTCATCTCCTAGTATTTTTTTTCCTCACAGAAGAAAATGTAGAACGTGATGCAGTACACAAAGCCCTTTTATCCTTGTTGAGGCAGGATGTGAAAGGTAATTTTATAGATCTCATTATCTGGATGTTAAATCATGTTGTTATGATCTTATAAGGTTGCAGCATCGATCTAATCGTGTGGTCATTTATCGTGTTGTATACTTATATTACAAAAACTTGAAATAGTTGATATGGAATATAAGATAATCAGTTTAAAGTGATTGCCTCACCACTTAAATAAATGAAGCAGTCAAGCAACTAAAACTATGCATCACCAGTTTGTCTTGGAATGTGATCGCTTTGAAATTAATGTGTCTTTTTTCATTGTATTTTTGTTGTCATTGGGTCAGGTCTAGTCCCCCAATGATGTTCTTTTTTCCCTAGTTGTTTGTTGTTCTTTGAGGAGGTATGCCTCTTCTGGAGGGGTTTTGGTCTAGTCCCCCTACTTTTTGTACTTTTTTTAATCAATAAAACTCGTTAAATGTTCCCAGGCATTTACCCCACGAATTTTGGTGTTTGACCTTCCGGGTTAAAAAAATATAGTTTTAGAAACAGTGTACTATTTCATGTTTTTACTGGCTGACTCAATAATCTGCTCATAAAATTTTAGGTAATGCTGCTTTTCACATTATGGGTTGCGAATCATATAACACATATTGGTATTTTGTACTTAATATTTGCATTTGAAGTCATTTCCATAATAAAGTTTCACTTTACCTTTTTGCCGGTTCTTGTGAATAATCAAATATTGGCTTGCTCTTCAAAGCAAAGCAATGCCATTTTCTTCCATTGTGCTTTTCCACTTGAATAAATTTGAAAATAGTTTAATTTCTTTCAAATAAGAATTCAATGTGCTTTACCTGTTTGATTGCAGTATTAGTTTGTAAGTTATTATCTTCTAGTGCGCTTTACCACTATAACACCTTTGAAAATGCTATTGATTTGTTCAACATAATTTATTTTCTTCCGGACTTCCGGTTAAGGAACCATGGTGCTATAACTGCTAACTTGCATAGTGTACTATCAATTTTTAAGTTACAGGCAATGTTATGTATGATATCTTGTAAAGAAATAGAAAAACTCATGCATTAAGTATTTGCCCTGCATAAAGCAAGTGAAGCCTAACCAAATCAATCTCAAGGGTTTATTGCGACTGATATATGAAAGTGTTTTATCCACGTCAGTTACTTGTCTTTCACTTCATTTAACTATTAAGTTTCAGTTAACTATATGTGGACATGGTGTCAAGGGAGTTGTAGTCAATATATATACCCAAAATCATGTAATGTTTTTCTTTGATAGGTTTCTTCAGGATGGCTATGCAATATATGCATTCATGCCATTTATTTGTAAAGTTAGATTAAGTTTACTTCATAGATGTACATCTTCTATGGACAATTTACGATGCTTTGTGTTTGAGTAAGATGAAATCTCATGTGGCAGTCATAAATATTCTTGATCAACTTGCAAATAAATGGTAATCAAGTAATCAGTATTGGGAAAATTCTGAAATAGAAGTAAAAACAATGTAAAATTCTAAAACAGGACTAATATGTTTTTCCTTAAACAGGAGTAACTTTCTGTCATCCTAGTTTTTTACTGCCATTTTTTGACATTAGCATGCTTAATATGGCAGTATTAATGCCATAATTGGCAGTATTTTTTAAGCATTTAAGCATGACAGTAATTACTCATATCTATTGAATAAAAATCGTGCACCTATTTTGGAATTTGACATTGTTTTTACTTTTATTTAGGGTAATTTCTTATCAACATACTTATGTGTTCAATGTGATATTTGTGATAGATTTCTGAAAGACTGTTTATGCTTTTGCACTTCATTAATGGGATAGATTTCTCAAGGATGCTTAATGTTTTCACACTCATTTCTCTATGATTAGCTATGTATCCTTGATAGTTGATATGCAATGGATTTCTTTCATTTCCTTTCTGCATTCCCTTGGTTCCCCAAAACAACCAAGGACAGGGCATCAGAGAGGAATCCTAGAGAAGGGCTTGTGTCCTTATCAATCATAAATCCCTGCTCTTTGGCACTTAGTATCTACCAGTGATGTCAATAGCAGGCTATAGTGGCTCTCTAGCGGAATAGCAGAGCGGGGGCTCGGAGCTATGAGACTGCCTATAGCGTAGCGGTTGGCAATAGCGGGCGCTATAGCGCCACTATAGTTTACAGGGCTACTTTCAGATCTAGTTTTGAGGGAATTTGGGAGTATTTTTTACTTTTAGATGTATTTCGAGTAAAAAATAACCTCAATACACCCTCCAAAACACGTGGGGGGGCAAAATAGCCCTACTAAACCCATACTTAAATATCTCAAAGCAGAAATCAAGATCAAACATAACCTATACCATGCATCTCCATTTAAAGTAGTTCAAGGCATTCCAACAATCATGATTTTGTTATAATGAGATATTAATGACGCAAATTTATCAAGAATTATGTGGAACATAATTTTTAATGTCTAGAGGTAAGGCACTTCAATTATTTGTTTCTTTTGTTTAAGACTCTAATGCTACCTTTATTGGTATTTGGTAATTTAGTAAGTATAAATTTCACGACATTTGAGTAATAAATTTAGTAGTATGTATTTTGGATATATATTGTCTGAATAGCGGTCATCCCGCTATACCGCTATAGCGTTTTTGGCCGCTATGCTCCACTATCTGGGATTGACAACACTGGTATCTATTATATTTTTGCTATTCAATATCTGTTTGTTATTTTTTCTCCCAGTGCTATCATCATTTTACAATGTGAATATGTGATTTCTCTTTTTGTTTTTCACCTAATCTTGCACAGCGTCACTGACGGCTCTCTTTAAGCACATTGAGAGTATCGATGAGCAGATGACTGATGAAAATCTTCGTGAGAGGACATTAATATTTATTAGAGACAAGGTGATAACACAACTACATATCTGATTCAGTTTAGGTCCATTTGTGTATCTCCATCATGCATCTAATTATGCAAGTGATTCTACGTGACACTGCGGGCAGGTTTTCCCTATTAAAACAGAGCTCCTGAAGCCACCAGAACAAATGGAAAGACATATTACTGATTTAATAAAAAAGGTAATTTTTTTCTAATGTTATCTTGTACATGTGCAGTTGAGTTGTGTTTAATATTCAAGCTTACACTTGCTTCTGCTTACTAAAATATGTTATTCATTATTTAATGGAGGTAATGTTGTGCCAAGTG